TCAATAAAAACATGCAGCAGGTGGAGATGTTGGACAATGTGGCTTGTATTAGGGCGAGCCTTCTGCCTTTAGAAGTATAACATGATGACCATGTTAACTGTAACAGCCCAAACCCAAGCCCAAACCCAAGCCCAAGCCCACCACTAGTAGATATTATCCTCTTTGGGCTTTCCCTTTTGAGCTTACCCTCAAGGTTTTTAGAACACATCTGCTAGGGAGAGGTTTCCACACCCTTATAAAGGGTGTTGTGTTCTCCTCCCCAACCGATGTGAGACCTCACAATCCACCTCCCTTCAGGGCCCAGCATCCTTACTAACACACCACTTCGTGTCTACCCTCCTTCAGGGCCCAGCGTCCTTACTGGCACACCGCTTCGTGTCTACCCCCCTTCAGGGAACAACCTCCTCGCTGGCATATCGCTCGGTGTCTGGCTCGGATACCATTTGTAACGGCCCAAGCCCACCACTAACAGATATTGTCCTCTTTGAGCTTTTCCTTTCGAGCTTACCCTCAAGGTTTTTAAAACGCGTCTACTAGGGTGAGGTTTCCACACACTTATAAAGGGTGTTTCATTCTCCTCCCCAACCGATCTGAGACCTCGCAAATTAGAGAAGCGGATCGTGTCATACGCAAACTAAAGATGGTTGATTCTTAAGCCTTCTTTACCTTCCCTTCGTATTTGGCCTTTATGAGTAGAAAAAGGAGTAAATCCATTACCATTATGAAAAAAAGGGATAGTGGATCCCCTTGTCAAAGATCCCATGTGGCATAGATCTTTCCTCTCGGTATTCCATTGATGATGATGGAGAATTTTGTGGATGAAATGCATCCTTTTACCCACCCCACCATTTTGAGCCAAAGCCTTTTGCTACAAGAATGTTTTCTAGGGAAGTCCAATCGACTTTATCGAAGGCCTTTTTTCCAATTAAAGTTTGATGACTACACCTTTATGTTTCTTTCTTTCCGCTCATTTGCTGTAAGAGAGGGAAAGAGAATTCAAGTAGGAGGGAAGAGAAACTTCTCATCTTTTTACACGGGAATGCAACAAGACCAGTAGTAACAGTTAAAACAAACTCGAGTAGAGCTTGTTCAAAATCCTTTTAACAAAATTTTTTGAAGCAAGCATATGAAGAATCTATGCTTGGTCAATCCCTTCAACTCCAATAACACTTTGCTCGGTGTAAACTCAGTGTAAGGTGAAAGATCTTTGCAACGTGGAAAAGACGGACAAAGATGTTCAAAAAATAGTTTCCCATATTGAACAAAGATGTTCAATTCCCGTCTTCATAATTTCTTTCCATGAATTGAAGTGTCCTTTGAAAGGTTGGACTTAAGAAATCAATGTTGATGGAGCATTTTGTGCTTCTCAATTTTTAATTACGATCCTATCGAGGGTCCTTTTCCTCCTGAGTGAACCACCAACTCAATGTAGTGAGGAAAACATGATTCTTTTTCGGCTAGTTGCCCCTCACTGTAGTCCTCATGAGCCAAAATACAGTGAGGTTCCTAGTAATCAAAAGAAATTAGAAGTAGACGGGCATTTGAAACCCCACTTTAACCACATCGTTCAACAGCCTTTAAGTTCAAGATCACATCTAGATTAGCCCGACCAATGTTTTCATAGGCTTTCTCAATGCCTATTTTCAAGATAACTTTCATCAACTCTCTTAGCTGCTGGAAGAAAAGTATCTGAAACTCATCTTCCATTGTTCTTTCTTCGACAAAGGTCGATTTTAGAGCTTTATCGAGAGATGAAAAATCATGCTAGGTAAGAACGATTGCATATAAAAACATGATACCGAATGAGCATTCAGCCCTTCTTTCCATAAAAGTATTCCACATTCTTATCACATGGGTAATCAAATTCATCCCTGCTCTGTTCTTTTAAACAAACCAAAACTAATAGTTCATATGAAAAATCTCGATCAACCTCGACGAACCAAAAAAAATAAAGGATAATAAATTAAGAACAAACAATTCTTGAGCAGGATTGTACCTGTGAGCACTGCGAAAGAAGTTTTCCCCACGCAGGCTTCGAATTCGACTTCGCCAACCTCATCGTACGCTTCTTCGAGCGATTGAGCATGGTAGCCACAACCACCTTCGATTTCTCCGCATCAGCTGCAACATCACCTACATCCCACACGACACAGGAATCGAAGAATCTAATCAAAACCCAATTCAAACCCAACAACCCCAATAGATTTAACATTAAACACCCAGTTCCAAGCAATCAAACTGCATGCATATAACACCAATTGCGAAGGTTTACCTAAAGGTTGCGGCGCAATAATAGCCTCGCCTTCTGCCTGAAGGTCATGGGAATTCTCGGGAACAGCCTCATCGCCTGCGTTGTTGACCTTCAAAGAATCAGTATCGAAAGGATCAGCTGGTTGTATAACTGGGTCAGCCGATTCAACCCCAGATTCCCCAACTGGGATCAACGGCTCGACAGGCGGCGCGCTCTGAACGTCCTCCGTAGACGACGATGCCTCAATAACCTATCATGAATTCAACCAAAGATCAAAAACCCACAAAAACCAAACCCCACACCTAAATCCCACCCAAAAACCCATCAATCGAGAAAGAACCACGAATCACTGACATGCAAAACCCAAAAACCGCGAGAAATCAGACGAAAGTACCTTAGATCTTTTGGAATTCGGGGCGCCGGAAGGAGGAGGCGAGCCATGAGATGAAGAAAGAGAGCGTTTGGAGAAAGAACTACGCCTGGTTTCAACCATGGTAACAAAACGCAACACCACAGAGCAGACACGAACAATTAGAGATGAGTCTATAAATTGATCCCTCTCCCTTTCCTTCCTTTTTCTTCCTCTTGGATTGAAAAATCAAGTTCTGGGTATGGATGAAAAGAAGAAAAAAAAGGGAAAATTGCAAGAGAAAAGGCGCCCGAAGACCAAATAGAGAGGACCGGGCAGAGGAAGAGAAATTGATGCGAAGAGATCAGTTAAGTAAGCGTCTCGATTTTTACAAATTTTTTTAATTCTATCCTTATTTATTAAAGAAAAATTTGTAACCATAAAATCATTTATATTTATATTTATTTATTATTTTTTAACTAAATAATTAGGTTTTAATTACCGACGAGTTATTATGATTATTTAGATTATAAATATATTAAGGTTCAAATTTATACTCTCGTACCAAATAAACAATAGTTATAAATTTTAATCAACATAAATATTTATTTTAATTATTTTATAAACTTCTTCTTTACTTCATTAATTTTAAATTGGAGTCGATTTTTTATTTCACCTAATTTTTTTCAAATCAATATTAATAATATTAAAAAAAATTAATAAATCAGACCATTTAGATCTATAATACTAAAAAAAATAATAGTAAAAATTTAATATCTATTAAAAAAAAGTAATATTTTGAAGTATTTGTCTTCAATAAATAAATAACAATACAAATAATTTATAATTAATATTTTTTTTTTGTTGTTGTAGTTTATAACTTCATGTAATCCACGTGTTTGTTCATTTTTTTTTTATTTTTTAATATTTAATATTAGAGTGAAAATAAATAAAAAGTTATGTGACTAATTTATAATTTTTAAATAAATATAATTTTATTTATTTTGTTTTATATTAAATAAATATAAACTTTCTTCTTACATTTGGCTTATGCATTAAAAGAATTGGTTAGAAAAGCTCGATATTAATTTTATACCAATTAATATCGAAACGAATTGTCTTTTTTTCGCTCATTTTTCAAAGTCAAGATAAACGTATGAATCATATTCCTCAAAACATGCATTTTTTAACAAGATATATATATATTGCATAATTTGAGTTCGGACGATTGAGAATACAAGACAAGTGTCGATGTCCATTTAATAAATATTTAATTTTTAATCTAAAAAATAAATTTATAAATAAGACTCAATTTTTATTGAGTTTTCTTTTTTAAATTAGTTATCAATTACAAATCTATTATTATTTTATTTGTTTACTACATTCAAATAATTTAAGTATATTATATATATATAGTACATATTTTAAAAGTTAAATTATTTTATGATAAATTTAAATAAAAATATATAAATATTATTCTAAAATTAAAAAATAAATATAAAAAAAAAAACCAAATATCAATATATTTTATTTTTAATGAGATAAAATAAAAATTATTAGGGCGGAAAACATACTAAACCAAACACTCTTTAATCAAGTCTCCTGCTATCGAATTTATATACAGAACAATATGTTACAACCAACACGACCATCTTCACTAGGCCCAAGCCATCTAGCACCAGCTTCCAACACAATGCCATGCACAACAGAAGTACAAGGTCAGAAACATAGGACCTAACACGTAACCCGTTTTCAATCCATACAAACCATCTTGACACAGTCAAGGGCTGGGACGGTAGAGGGACTGTATGTCCTCTGACTTAATTTAAATATTTTAGATGTATTATCGGAACTCATAATATATATTTTATCAAAATTGAACTATATATTTTTATTTTCTTAATACTATTACTAGTCCGTCATTTCAACCAAATTTCATTAATATATTACACCACAACAAAATTATATTATTAGGTTGATGGATGGCGACACGAACCTATGTCAAAATAAACGGGACACTTTCTTTATCTTTTTATCATTGAATTAGGGTTACAAATATCTCCTACTAAAGAAAACTATATTATAAAATCTATATAATTAAATATATATTTTTAAAACTTATATATTAAACAAAAACACCATCAAATTTAACCCATTTATAAAATGTATGGGCTAAAAATATTGGATAAAAAGCCAATGTCGATCGTCTGTTTCCCGAGCCAGGGCCGTATACGTCAACGGGATCGCGGGATCGCGGGATCGATGATGACTGAGGTCAGCTCGCCGGTGAAAGTCGGCGAAACCTAGAAAATCAGCTGTTTCCGACACTGGAAATCCAAGGCTCGCATTTGCTGTCTTGGCTGATGCCATCCTCGTCGCCAATATCATCTACCTGTAAGATCGAATTCTTATTCGTATCTTTTCTTTACAATGAATTATCGATATGTTCTTTTGACGCCATTGCTGGTTTGCCTCCAGATACTAAAATTGATTGGGACGCTTACATGTAAGTATCATTAGTAGTATATATTTTGATTTTGGCTGCTAAATTATATCCGCCGTGACTCCAATCCTCAGATAAAGCAGCAAAAATGATAGAATTACTGATTAAGACTAGAGTTTATACGAATTATAACATGAACTTGCTCATCATTTTGATCTCAAGTAAAGCATTTCTTTGGAGACTCATGGTCATTTGTTTGATTTTGTCCTTAGTTTCAAGATTGGCCTTAGCTCTCTACGACCTATAACATTAAACAGGAAAAAAAAATGATAAAATTAACGATTAAGATTAGAGTGTCCAAGAAACATAACAATAATTTGCTTAGAAATTAGATCTTTTGAATAAAGCATTTTTCTGGACTAATGATTGTTTGTTTGATCTTCTACTATTGGTTTCAATGGCTGTTTGTTTCATCTCGTACTGTTGGTTTCAATGTTCAAGAATTATAACATTAAACACCTCTTTCTCTCTATAGGAGGGTTTAATGGGTTCTACATATTGGTATTATTTTCAAGCAGGTAAGTGGATTTTTGGTAGGGGAGAGGGATTACAGCAAATTGCAAGGAGACACTAGACCTCTAGTTTATCCGGCTGAGTTTTGTAATAGCCCAAGCCCACCGCTAACCGATATTGTCCTCTTTGCCAAGCCCATTGCTAGTAGATATTGTCCTATTTGTGCTTTCCCTTTTGAACTTCCTCTCAAGGTTTTTAAAATGCGTTTGGTAGGGAGAGGTTTCCACACCGTTATAAGCAATGCTTTTTTCTCCTCTCCAACCAATGTGGGATCTCACAATCCACCCCCTTGGGGGCCCAGCGTTCTCACTGGCCCACTACTCGGTGTCTGGCTCTGGTACCATTTGTAACGGCTCAAGCCCACCACTAACAGATATTGTCCTCTTTGGGCTTTCCCTTTCGAGTTTTTCCTCAAGGTTTTTAAAACGCGTCTAGTAGGGAGAGGTCTCCACACCCTTATAAGCAATGCTTCTTTCTCCTCTCCTACTGATATTGTCCTCTTTGGGCTTTCCCTTTCGAATTTTCTCTCAAGGTTTTTAAAACTCGTCTGGTAGGGAGAGGTTTCCACACCCTTATAAGCAATGCTTCTTTCTCCTCTCCAACCGACGTGGGATGTCACAGTTTTTGTTCATTTATTCTGCCATACAATGAGATTGAGGGGTGGGGGAACTAAATTATCTGATAAATTTTTTAGGTGCTTCACTTTGCTCTTGTATCTACACTTGAGCTATTTGGATTCAGGCAATGTTGTTTAATAAGCTTCCATTATTGCAGCCAACTTTCCCAATGGGATATCTAACAATAACAAGCCATTGGTCAAGTTACTCGAGGGCGAACGTAAGTTGGTACTAAAAGTACATTCGATCTAACTTGTAATATGATGATCTGTAATATGATGATCTGTTTGATCTTTTCTTCGGCGTCTAACCCCCTCTCTCGTTTTTCTGGTTGATCGTTCGCCGAGTATTTCATCGGCTCAGATGTTGTAACAACAATGTTCGTTGGGAATTTCATCGGCGTTGTGTGTGCTCGATCATTGCATTATCAGTTCTACTCATGGTAAGCTCAATTATCTCAAGTTCCATACATTGAATGGAAAATGTCGAATCATGTCGAACCACTTGTTGACGACTATATCTGCATCTCATATTTTTATGAACACACACACACCATTCAATCCTCAAGCAACAGTGTCTCGATCATTGCATTATCAGTTCTACTCATGGTAAGCTCAATTATCTCAAGTTCCATACATTGAATGGAATCATGTCGAATCATGTATGGAATCATGTCGAATCATGTCGAATCATGTCGAACCACTTGTTGACGACTATATCTGCATCTCATATTTTTATGAACACACACACACACACCATTCAATCCTCAAGCAACAGTGTCTGAAATTTGGTTTATATAGAATCTGGTCATATAACTCATTCAATCCGAAAGCAATGAAGTATGGGCTCTAAACGTCGTATTTCGTTACGCTGCAGGTATTTCTTTTCTATTCCATATCTGTTGTGGAGAACGTCGTTTCCTACAATATTACGGTACCTCGCTGAAAAACTTCGCCTTCTTGTCTGGATTATTTTGTGTACATTCAATATATAGATATGGATGTTTAAGCCCACCGCTAGCAGATATTGTCCTTTTTTGGGTTTTCCCTTTCAGGCTTCCCTTCAAGGTTTTTAAAACGTGTTTGTTAGGGAGAGGTTTCCACACTCGTATAAAGAATTCTTCATTCTCCTCCCCAATCGACGTGGGATCTCATCTGTTTGGGGGATCGGGTTTTGTTGGAATGTATATCCTTCTAATATGTACTCCTCGACGTTGCTTTCTAAGTCTTCACCTAATTTTGCTTTGGGGTTTGTGGTCTGGAGCAGCAGAGTATCCTTATGTTCAAGTGAAGTATCTAATATAAAACAAAACTGAAAAACACCAACTCTTAGTCTGTCTCACTATCATTAGTTTGAATTGCATAGAGTTTGTATCCTCCATGTTTGATTTTCAGCTGGCTTTCTTGTAATACTTTTCATTTTTTCCGTCTTCCTCGAGCGGACGGAGGGGTCTCAAATAGTATTGTATCGAAACGAGATTGGGTCAACTTCAGGTTGTCGAGCATTGAATTTGAGGCTCGTTTATTTCGAGTCGTTCTCTTCTGTTATTGTCATCTTGAACTCACTCTTGAAAACTGCTATGTTTACTCGTATTTTGTAGATTCATTCAATTATCAATTCTAGTGTCAAGACAAAGAGAAGAGAAGAGAAGTGAGTTCACGACCCGTAAGCCTTGTACCTCCACACGGCATTGCTCGAGAAAATTTTCAAACTTCGACAGATTTTTTATAGCAAACTCGAGAAGAGTTTCTAAGTTTTGAATGTCATACCTCCAAAATTTTGGATAATCTTTTAATGTCGAAAATGCCCCTTTGATATTCATTATTTATGTTTTTTTTTTTTGTAAAAATAATGTTAAATTATAAATTTAGTTCCGAAAGCTAGTTTCTTGTTTATATTTTTTACTGTTCAAATACAAACAATAAAATATTTTACCACAAAAAAAATTATGTTTTTTTGTTTTAATAATGATTAAAAAAATAACAAAATTAATAAATAATTACTTAATATGAGTTATATTTCGGATGTTTTAAGTTAGGCTTAAATTGACTTTCATATATGTAATTAATTAATATTTTTTATATTGAGTCTCGTATATTTAATTAATTAATATATATTTTTTTAATAAATTGTGTCCAATTATACATTTTTAGACTTCAAATTTTAAATCAAAATATTTCGAAAACTTTTTATAAATTTCTACTATTTACATCATTTTTTTTAATTAAATAAAAAATATTTACATTTAAGTTATGAACTTTTGACAATTAATTAATTAAATAAATATATGAAATTACAAAATTTATATTTAAGTTAGAGAACGTTGTTCGACCACTAACGGTAAGAATAAAATTACAAAATTTAAAATAATAAATATATTTTTATAAAAAATGTAAAGGGCAAAATGGTAATTTTGTACAGGGGGAGAAGAGGGTATCACCTGAGGAAAAAAGGAAGCCATTCGCTATATTCTACGTCCCGCATTCTTCCCCCGCGAACTGGACGATTGGGCACCGCGAGTTTCAGCATCTCCCGATTGTCTCTTGAAGATCCACTCTTGCGGAAATGGTTGGTGTCTCTTCTTTTTAAATCTGATTCCGTTCAGTCACTGTTCTTTCCCGTTGAATGTCATTGCTGTTGTGTATCCATTTCACCCTGCTAGATGTGAAATTTTGGAAGGAATTCGAAATCTCTAAGGATTTCCTTGTTTCTGTTTATAAGAATTTCTGTTCTAAATCGAATGATTCTGTTCAGCTTTAGTTCCGCAATCGCCTTGCTCACTTTTTAATCACTTTTGAACAATGCCGATTTAGATCACCTTAGGTTGTTGATATTGAACGTTGATTTGGGGTTGGGTTACGGATGAGTGTCTTGTGGATTTCGTCTTTCTGCTAGGGTTCATCGTTTTAATCGATGATTGAAGGCTTCGTCACGAGATAATGTGTGAAGATTCAATCTTTCTTGGATTTTCGTAAAGCTACGCTTGCTGATTTGGTTGATTCTGGATGCCATATTGTTTATGAGGAGACTGAACATTATTCGGCTTCGTATGAAGGAAGGGATTATCTTTAAGATTGGTTTTGCAAACTCTTAGGATCATGCTGATTGGATATTTTTTGGGAAAGTTTTGTGGAAAGGAGGTTTTTGGGTTTAAATTGAAATGTTGGATGTGGTCAATTGTCTCTTGTTGATGCACTTAATGGGAAGGCAACGAGTAAAACATTTGCCACTAGGGGTTTCAATGTCATCGTTCCTTTTCCTTGTGGAGGTTTCTTAGTAAGTTAGTGTTTAGAGGGGTGGAAGGTGACTTCGTTGAAGATTTCCATGTGAGAAAGAATAAAGTTCAGCTCATACACTTTTAGTCCGTAGACGATACCATCTTTTCCTACTACGAGAGGGAAGAGTCTTTTGCTAATGTTTTGCAACAGCTCGCATATGACTATGATGGAGGTCTTATACAACCCTTCCTTACAACATAGAGAGATGGCACTTTGGAATGTTGCTTTCATTGCAATCTTATGGAAGGTGCACTTGGAGATGTGAATAGCACTTTTGAGGAAGTTTGGGCCCTAGCTAAGTTCAATCCCTTCTTTTTCTAGTGGCTAAGACGCTGGCTCACAGTTAGTTTATTCGTTGTTATCACAGGAGTGCGAATGACTTCTGTTCCCATATTATGATAGTCGAATCTTATTGTAGTTGATTGTAGTTGTCACAACTGAAGATGTTTGAATGCTTTTTCTTAATTCATTTTCAAGATTGTCAGCCTCTAGTTATTATTGGGATAGAACCTAAATATATCGAAATATGGAAGATAACAAAACTACATAATAACTCTCCAATTATTAAGGTGCTTAGAACCTCCCCTTTCTTGAGATGCCACTCAAATCTAAGCCACGATGATGCGCTCCTTGTTGAGGATTACTGGGAGTGAGTCCCACATTGGTTAATTTAGTGAAAGATCATGGGTTTATAAGTGAGGAATACTATCTCCATTGGTATGAGGCCTTTTGGGAAGCCCAAAGCAAAGCCATGTGAGCTTATGCTCAGAGTGGACAATATCATACCATTGTGGAGAGTCATGATTTCTAACATGGTATCAGAGCCATGCCCTAAACTTAACCATGTCAATAGAATTCTCAAATATCGAACAAAGAATTGTGAGCCTCGAAGGTGTAATCAAAAGTGACTAAAGTGTCGAACAAAGGGTGTACTTTGTTCGAGGGCTCCAGAGAAAGGAGTTGGGCCTCGATTAAGGGGAGGCTATTCGAGAGATCCATAAGCCTCAGGGGAGGCTTATAGTGGACTTTGTTCGAGGGGAGGATTGTTGAGGATTATTGGGAGTGAGTCCCACATTGGTTAATTTAGTGGAAGATCATGGGTTTATAAGTGAGGAATACTATCTCCATTGGTACGAGGCCTTTTGGGAAGCCCAAAGTAAAGCCATGAGAGCTTATGCTCAAAGTAGACAATATCATACCATTGTGGAGAGTCGTGATTTCTAACACTCCTAGCTCGCGGAGCTACATACCATAAAAAGAAAAAGAATCTCTCGCGAGCAACCATCTAGTTTCATTCTTTACCCTAACTTCCCCTTTGTGTCCATTGATCGCTATCCATTTTCCTTGCATCCATCTCTGGAGCAGAGCTATATCGAAATTTTTTTAAAATTGATTTCAATCTTCTATGTTCTCACGCACTCTGTTCCCAAGCAACTTCAAGGAAACCAATGGAGGCATAGGAGAGATGGAATAGCGTCTAAGCTATGACAAACCATTAGGATTAGTTTGCAAATTTGTGAAAATCATTACCAATGATGTGCTATATGCCTAAGTGTGAAAAGAATGCGTCCAAACCTAAATATGGGGATTAGAGCACTTTTTCTCTATAACATCTTCTCTAGTGAATTACCCAACATGCCTCAATGTTAACCTCGTAGCACCTAGTGGTCAATAAGGGCCATGGAATGTTAAAGGGCTTAGAAGAAATGGATTCAAATGATGGTAGTCACCTACTTGAGATTTAATATTCTACGAGTTTCCTCGACAATCAAATGTAATAAGACTCTAGTCTTGTGAGATTGTGAGATTAGTTAAGGTGCGCACAAGTTGGTCCAAAACTCACAAATATTTAAAAAATCACCACAATAACTTCTCTAATCAATTATCAACATCTAACTACCATTCCTAATGGTATTCCTATCATATTGTTCATATTATTTGACTGGTTTCTTGTTGTTTGTACCATTGTGCGACAGTGTGAAATGCACATTTTACTCGTTTTATCTTGTAGGATGGACACGACTCCGAAGATGCAAAACAAAGCACAGCTGATATGACTGTTTTTGTGAGTTCATTTCTTTTCTTTCAGTTTATTCTCTGTGTTTTTCACATTTGATAGTCTAATCCAACTTTTTTTTGTAAGAATGGTTCTATAAAGTTTGTCATCAATCCTCTCCTTCTGTTTAACATTCAATCCCTAAGCCACTCTTGATTGTTTCTTGGTAGTTCATAGTTAAATTAGTATTAACTCTTCTTCTTCTTTCCAGGTGCAAAATCTTCTTCAACAGATGGTGAGTCTCAGTTAGTGTAAATTTCCAGCAGAGAAATTCATATCTAACATAATCTTATTTATGCAGCAATCAAGGTTCCAAACCATGTCTGACTCCATTATCACAAAGAATATCCTTTTGAAATGCTGCTAGAAGTTTCTTAAGTTATAATTATAACGAGTAATTGTTTCTGATAGGCTCGGATACATTTTGAGTTTTGCAAAATAAATTCTATAGTTATTTATCTGGTAAAAGAGGCCATACGGTCCAAACGGTGCAATTTCCCGAGTATTACGTTGTCCATTCTAGCTAACAATGATCTTGTAAAAGTTACATATAGTTAAAACATTCTAATAGGAAGATAATGGTAATGATTTCGAACTGGATTGAGTTCGTATGAACCTTAATTCCTTCTAATGAGACGTTGGAGTCCAGTACAATTGAAGAACCTTTATATAAGTGATTAGCCACCTTGATTGTAGGTTAGAATTTGTTTGAATCTGTATGAACCTTAATTCCTTCTAATTGATAGTATATATGCTTTCCTTAACTTGAAAATACTTGATGAGATGGGAAGCCGCATAAATGAATTGGAGCAGAGCATCAACGACCTAAAAGCTGAGATGGGCGTGGAGGGTTCGCCGTTGCCTCCGTCCAAGACGAATGCCGATGAATCGAAGAAAGACGAAGGTTCTGCGTAGACATAGTTGAGAGTGTATGTTTTATTTATGAGTTTGTTGTCTTTTCGCTATTGCCTTTGTGAAACTGAAGTCAATGCTTAGGATGAGACAGAAAAATACAATATGTTCTAGACATGGACCTGCTATTTCAGCATAATTTCTTATTGGCAATATAGTGATGATTATACCCTATGATTATTTCATACAACTGCTCATCTCTGGCTAAAGTAAACACGAGTCGTTAGCTTCGGCAACGAGTGATGGCATTGCAGCCACGGTCGCACGGGTTTGCCCCTGCGTCTGGCGCGAGCATGGCACC